TGATATAAAAAAATAAAAATTGTTCATTTTTTACCAAAAAAATATTTTATTTTAAAGAATATATTATATTTGTTCAAAAACTTTTACTTGACGTATAATTACATTAAATAAATTAGATTTTTTTGAATTATTTATTAATGTAACAATATTAAAAAATTATAGAACACAATTTATTTCGTTAACATTTTATAGAGAACTTTAAAATATATGCATTTTTTTAACAATATAAAATAAGAAGTGTTACCTTTTTTACAAACAAAATATATCTAAAAAGTAATGTAGCATATTATTTTAAGAAATATTTTATTCTATAATATTTAATTTGCATGCAACTTAATAAGAAAAAGTCAAAAAAGTTAAATGTTTTTTAAATCATAACAATGGAAAATGAAAATCACTAATAATAATTTAAAATAAGTTTTTATTTTTATTTTTATTTTAATTAAGTCATCAAAATGATGTGTCATCCATATCACCTCATTAAAACCACACAAGCAAAAAAAATCAAAGGGGTTAACCGGTTTAAAAGGTAACAGGTTACCCATTGCTATAATGAATAGATTTTTTAAAGTACAATGTCTTAATAGAAAATAATTTGAAAATATATTGTTGTAATAAATAAAAACAAAAGTAGAATGCTATAATAATATTTTTTTTATGAAAGTAGGTTGCTATTTCATACATTTAACCCTATAAAATTAACACCAATTATGGTGCCCCAATAAACACTAAAAAAAGCTCAAATCCAATCATACTCTAAAAAATACTAAATTTATAGACCTCACATTAAAATAACATATTTTATTTACTATTTTTAATAACAATAATTATAATTTATAATAAATATTATAATAAAGAAATGTTAAAATAAAAATGCTAAATTTTTAATTAATAAATTTTCTATTAAAAAGATTACGTTAGTTCAAATAGCACAAATTAAAAAAACACATAAATAATAATGTTGATCATCTCTCTCAATGATTTGATGATAATCCCTTTTTACTTATACGTTGTATAATTGTATTTATATTTCTGTCTTTTCAGTTCCAGCGATCATCACTGAGTCTGTTCAGTGATCGCTAAAGAACTTGTATTGTAAATCAATCAGATAAGGCGATACTTCAAGAATACAACACTCACACCAAAGAACCTTCAACAAATGTGGAAGACTGAAACTGAAGATTAGAGACTGGCGAGTACGTGATCTAAAGCGGTACTTGGTGATTACAAGCCTGTCTACAGATGTGTGAAGACTGCTCAAGCCTCAACGAATGCTGAAGAGACCTTCAGGTCATTCCAGCATTCAGCGATCAAAGAAAGCTTGCTTAGCACGACTGTTGTTGTCTTGTCCTTATGCACACAAAGGACAAACCCATACCCTTATGAAAGTTGCCTCAATGAATGCTGAAGAGACCTTCAGGTCATTCCAGCATTCAGCGATCAAAGGAAGCTTGCTTAGCATGACTGTTATTGTCTTGTCCTTATGCACATAAATGACAAACCCATATGTTAGTAATGAAATTTTGAGTAAAATTGTATTCGTCTTGAAAGATACAATTGTCTATAATTGTAGAAAAGTCATCGTGTTTGACTTTTCTTAGATAGTTTAACTTTGACATTTTGTGTAATGTTTGACCCTATAAATAGGGTGTTAGTCTTGTAATCTTAGTAGGAGCTTAATTGTAAATTCATAATACGTAATATAAGAGATTGACCAAGTTTTAGAGCTTTGACTTTTCCTCTCTGCTCTTTCTAGGGTTCTTAAAAGAAAATCTTTTATGCCATTGTTGATTGAAGATATTATGGAAGATTGATCATAACAACGACTCACAATTGGTATCAGAGCACGTTTACAGCGAATTTGATTGAAGATGTCATCAAGAATTGCTCAAACTTTCTGGAAATTCATGATTTTATGTTCTTGAAGTTCATAAAATTTCTTGAATGTTCTTCATAATTTTTTCTTAAATCTTTCATTCTTGGACATTTGATTGTTAAAATGATGATCTTTGTGTACGTTTTACATAATGATTCATTGTTACTTCTTTGATTTTGAATTTTGATCATCGATATTTGAGATTTGAAGAGTTTATAAATTTTTGATGTTCTTTGTGTTCATGTGAAAGTTCATCAAAAAGGTAAAGTTTGATCCAAAATTTGTATAAAATTTTGTAATGTTTGTGTTTGTGGGCTGTTTTTGATCTTATTTTGATTGTCTTTTACTATTGAAACTTGTTAGTAAACTGGATTAAAGACTGCAGTAAGTGAGAGGATTATTGAGCGATTAAGCATTTTTTTGATTGAAGTCTTGACCGAATTCGGTCACTAGAGAGTTAGGCCTGAGCAAGGATTAACCGGATTCGGTCAACAAGCAAGCTGTCATAAGAAAGTCTCAAGCAAATTCGAACATCCCTTGACCGGATTCCTGAGCGATTTAGCCTTCTATTTGAGAGGACTTGTATTCAAACAGTCTTGAGCGGATTGGATAGCTTGTCATGTTTGACTGGTTTATAAGTCTAACTTACAGCAGCTTTGTATTGACTGGTTAATAGAGTTGACCAACCTTGTAGTAACCGGATTATAGATGGCTGTTTTAGAAGACTGTGCAGATGGAGATCAGAAGCTATGTACTTTGAGTGGACAGTGAGCAGACTGTGAGCAAGGCTTGACCATACACAAACATCAAGTGAGCGATTTGTTAAGTAATCTAGAAGCTAAGTATTAAGCTGCTTTAAGCGATTTACTGCATGTTTAAGCGAATTCTGTCACATGATGAGCGATTTATAGCAGCTAGTATTGAGTGATTTAAATCTGTAGTTTTGAGCGATTTATAGGCTGCTTTGTTAGGATTAAGAATTCAAGCGATTTAAGCTGCAGGATTGTGAAGCGCTGTGACCAGCGGATAAAAACTGTTGTGCGTTTGGAAACTGTTTTGACAGTTGTGTATTGACTGTTATATAAATTGTTTTAACTGATTTTTGGGTTTTCATTGCAGTCACCAGCAGATAGAAGCTATACTTTGTGTGGTTTATAATCAAGTTTTGATCGGATATAGAGAATGCAGTGAGCGGATAAGCTGTCTATGTCCAATAGAGAATAGTTGTGTCTTGACCAACTGTTTATTGCTTTCTTGAAATTTACAGCTGTTTGATTTATAGCTGTGAGTTG